ATCAACTTTCCAAATTTAGAAAATTATCCACCTTCCTAGGGAGTAGTCAACCTGCTTTACTTCACATCTCGCGCCGCTACTCCGCACAGGTGGGGTCAAATTCTGTCCCTTCCTCCTTTCTCAGTATTCTAAATCTGCCCAGTTCTTAAGGCTGATATAACTGTCTTTGTGGCAAACTAAATTTTAAAGCGTGTAGAAGAAAGGGTGTGTTTTTCTTCCTTAATTTCAATTCTCTGACTCCTTACCTGAACCAACCTGTCCAGTGAAAACACAAACCAGATCACCTTCTCATTTTAACATTCCGAGCGATAAATTATTTCCTAGTCTGTTTTCGTCAATAAAAATATATTTATTTACCAAAATTCTCAACAAAGAAACACACTGTTTTCCATCCTTGGACCGGTCGACGTCTTAATGAAAACATAAACCAGATTACCTGCCTGTTATGACGGATCGATTTTGATAATCCAAACCCTCGCAGCGGGTTCATTCTCTATTTTCATTTCTCAATTCGTTTTCGCTAACTAAAATATAAGTCCCGTCTGTTTCTCTTTACTCCATTGACATGTGCTTTTCTGAAAGAGATGAAGCCATTTTTCAATGTGCTTTACCCGCATGCCAGATTTCGGATAGATAAAAAATGTAAACTCCTGGTGCATTGTTCCAATTCATAGGGGTGAGGAAACCCAGATAGCCCTTTCTTCACTTTCACATTACCAGGGATGTCTTCTATTCTCTTTCTATTTATCTTCCAGTTTATATTTCATTTTCGGATTAACCTTTTTCTGCTTAGAATTAATTTTTAACCACCCAACGTCCTCGGTGTCACATATCTATTTTTAATGTATATTTTGATGTAGAGAATTTTCTCAACTCGTAAATCACTTTCGTGATGCGTTGTTCTGTAAATCAGACTTAGAAAGTAGATCACATACTTAAGTAGCACCGACCTATGTTACTGGAATAGTAAATCTATATCTGCTTCCTCGTCTTCTGCTTCTAAATTTGCGCCGCGTCCTTTTAGCACGTGGGCAATCATGGCTCTCTACAACTTCCTGTTCTTTATATCTCTTAGTAACGTTTGTTTTATTGTCAATCCCGTTCCACCACCCATAAATACAATCTCACCAGGTAGGTTACTCGCTGTTTCCCCCTGTCAATGTTTGCCTTCGGTATGTCATGTAAGTTCTCCAAACACCTTTCCTCAATTTTCTCTTTCTTTCTGATTCAGTCTGTGTTTTTTTTATTTCCATATTCCTTTAGACCTCCTCGTTGCTTATGCGCTTCATCTCAGCATCCTTCTGTAGAACTACATTTTTTGTCCCATGTCTTCATCTGCGAAGATGTTTTCCAGCATTCACTTTCATATAAGGGGATTGATATTAGATAACAGTTCATCATTCTTTTCTTTATTTCTAACGAAAAATTCCCGTTTCTTAATAAATTGCTTATTTTATGGAATGTCCTTTTCGTTATTCCAATATGCGTTCAGATGACGGTGTCACATTTTCTATCCTCTGTTAAAACATTTCCTAGGTATTTAAACTTCACAGAATAACTATTGGATTCTATTTTAGAGCACGCAGAATTTTTAGCCATCAAATATTTACATAAAGAAAAGAAATACATTAGTAATACTCTTAATCTCCCCAACACCCTGATTATTTCATGTTCAACGCGAAACAAACTTTTCGTAAAATATTTCAAAATAGAACCGTGGACCTTTCTGACAAAGCCAATGAATCAAAATATATTGTTCTACCTACCAACTATCACAATTACAATTGAAAAGAATTTATCTAAGCTTGATATAATTTTTTTACAATTACTTCGAAATTATAAAATAATTAATTAATGAAAAACAAAATAATAGGTTCAAATTTGAAAGAGGAATTTACTCTATCACCTGTAATAATTGCCACGAGCAATACATAGGGAAAACTTCAAATTTAAATAAATAATTACATGAACAAAAAAAGAGATATTTTACAAAACACGTTAAATGCATTAGCTTGACCATACTGCTGATTTAAAAAATGCGACTCTAATTAAGAGATTAAAATGAAATGAAAAATGTATGGAAAGTGCTTTAATTGCTACATCATCCACAGTAAATTTACGTCCAGAGTCTTAATACATTTCAGCTTTTTTGGCAGACTATCTATTACCACAATGCGAGGTACTTAATAATAAAAATGATAAAAATATCATAAAAGAAAAGTAAATGAAATCGGCTAGAACATATACCTAAAGATATATTTTCTTTAAAAAAAAGTAAAATTCCCAGCGCCCCCTCTCCTTCGTGGTTATGTGTAATCGCGTCAATGTAAACGACACTTTAATCCGATGAAGGACGAAACGTATCTCACGAGAATTTTCCTTCTTTGTTATTGTTTTCTCACTAAAACTGTTCTTGATATGTAAAAGATTTTATATCCTTTTTACTAATATATATATATATATATATATATATATATATATATATATATATATATATATATATATATATGTATATATATATATATATATATATATATATATATATATATATATATATATATATATATATATATATATATATATATATATATATATATATATATATATATATATATATATATATATATATATATATATATATATATATATATATATATATATATATATATATATATATATATATATATATATATATATATATATATATATATATATATATATATATATATATATATATATATATATATATATATATATATATATATATATATATATATATATATATATATATATATATATATATATATATATATATATATATATATATATATATACGTCTATTTTTCCGTGTTTGAAAATAGAAGCCTCGTTTTTTATTTCTGTTTTTTTAAACAGTGTGTTACGTCTAGCGGCCTGCGCTCAAGAAAAACCAATAAGAACAATTTACATTAGGCGTCCATTTCAAACACTGGTGTCTAATAAAAATAATGTTTGAAGTAATAAAAATGTCGGATGAAAAATAAAACCATTAATTTATATATAGCATATTGAAAATCTTGATGAAATTCCAAATTAATTTGTTCGGTTAACTTCGAATGTTAAACCTTTCGACAACGCGTAGCTGGAAAAAACATATATTTACACAAGTGGTTTAAATAGTACACCACCGTGGCAAATAAGGTCTACTGATAAAAATTAAACCTTCAAATGCTTACAATAGGTAAATGCAGCTACAGCTTTCGCAGGAGGAAACAGAGAAGGAAAGACAAGTCTGTAAGACATTATTTTCCAGAAGTAGTCGTCAGAAGAGAGATAAGCAGAGTACAAAGATATGTATATTTCCACGAAAATCGAGTTCTTCCGTTACTAAGACGGAAAAATAATCTTTAAGAATCGATCCACAAACTGCAGTAATTGTTTTAGTTTTCGTTCCGATTTTACGTTATAAAAATAAAAAGAAATGCAGTGGTTGGGTGCAGGGCAGCAAAATCAAGTATCTTTTGTTTTTAATAGTAAAAGCACTCATAATAGTTCATTAGTAAGCTAAACAAAGTGTAACTATCTTTAACAGACGTGTTTAACTATGTTAAACGTAAACTTTCAGTAATGTATTTTAGTTGGCGAAAATCAAAGGCTCATTTGAAGTTATCGTCGAACTCTGTAAATACTATTGATATCAATTTATGCATTAACAAATAAGAAGTCGTTCTACCGAAGTTTCAATCAGTCAGTTTCTATTGCCGCCCAGTTCCGTTTAATACCAAAAATACATTCTGTGAGGAGAGGAAGCGTGTCTCCAGTTGTAGAGAATTCTGAAGATGTCATTAATCGAGACATTACAAAGGTCGACTGATGTTTGCTCAATAATAGAGGTAAATTTCCGGCAGTATTTGTGAACTAACATGAACCACGACTGACTAATAGCGTTCATTACTTGTACTAACTTTGAGTAGAGGAGGGAGTTTGACAAAAAGAAAAAATTTTTTTCAGTAACATTAGCAAGAAAATTTCGCTGGGTCGTGTCCTTTCAGGGTATGGGCCGTTGTGGCTATCCACAGCTTCCTGCCCTTTATAGCGCTTAGTAATGATATTTATAATTATTACTCCATGTTCCGTCGTCCATTTAGATAAACTTGTCGTTTACCTGCCATTTCTCTTGTCCCTCAGTATGGCCTACCGGTTTCAATCCTGGGTATGACGATTAACTACATCCGGCAGCAAGGCCTCTGATCGGGAGGTTTTGAGGAGCGTGCGACCACCCCTTAATAGCTGTTGTTCCCAGGTTCACCCTGATCTGGAATGTTAGTTTCCCAGCTGTGGATAAATAGTTAACCCCCAAACTGGGATCAAAACACTATGAAAGAATAAAAATAAATTTTACGTAAAAATACCAGTATTAGATTTTCATAATAAAACAATATTATCAGCAATACATTTTTGCAAAGAAATTACTAATTCTCTCAAGAAAATTAAATTCTGGTATTAAATGACCCATAAGGAGTTGATATGCCGCTAAAAAAAAAAAAAAACAAACAAGCCAGTTTCAAATTCTGAGTCCTCTTTCTCCATTATGTGTACCAGAAATTTCACTTATTCAATTTCACTTATTCATTTAGTCTTTGCCAAAATCTACTAGATGTAGTAGTGCAAGTAAGAGAGATAGTCGGTGTAATAACGATGCCAGCGTAACATTGGTTGCGCAATTTTTTTTGTCCTGGGCACATATGTACACGTACGGGCACTTCACATTAAATACACACACACACACACACAGACATCCTACCTTGGTGGAGAAATCAGGTAAATTCTATCAATTACCTGCATCGTCCCACAACTTTCTCCTCCTTTTGAAATTTCACGATTTAAAACATCGTGAAAAAAGATTTTTTTTAAACTTGGTATTTATATTTAGATCGAGTACATTTTGGCAAAGACTGCATGAATTAAGCAAAATTGTTGGGCATGAAAAGGGTCAACATCATCTAACTTTTCTCGTAGCTATGCGTCGCAAAAAGTCAAGTTCCAACCGAAATCATCATCTCTTTAAGAATCTCAATATGTCTTCTTATCTCGGTGAGTGAATTATGTATTCATTCCTTCTCTATTTTTCAAGTTTCGTTCAAGATTCTAACCTCATCATTGTGAAAAGATCGCTTTTCTTCTATGTATGACATGTTGTTATTCTATTGCATTGAACATCGTTTCTCCAATCGCCTTGACTTTGGGTAATGGTTAAGGAAACTAGTATAGTTGACAATTATTACTGAGTAGTGACTTTGATTCTGATGCTGGATTCTGGATGCCTTATACAAAACTTCGGCATTAAATAATCCAACAAAGCTATCATTATAATCGCAACATTGAAATGAATATTTGTTGTTATTTATTGGAAATGCGTACGTAGAAATCAAGACAGACTGTTTTACGGTAGTCTTCCAAGTTGAGACAGTATAATCACCTGCTTTGAATATCAGCATTTGAAACATTCCCGTCTCGAACACTTTCCATGAGAGACGATAAAAAATTGTCTTTGCACTTAAATAATTGTTGAATATTAATCGCATATCTCAAACATTATAAAGTAAAAAGTCCGGATAAAAGTGCATCTAATAACTGCGTTACACTTTGGTCATCGAACTTTAACGAGTGATTTCAACAATCAAGACTAGAAATAGCACTATTTACATTATTTGCAGTCGTACTAATGCCCTCATTGTTGTAATTGCAGTCACAACGTTTCAGCCGTTGTGCCTCCCGGTCTTCTTCAGATGTCCGCGTAATTTCCAAGGAAATTCAAACTTTATTCAGTCTACGAGGTTGAATTGTTTTTATTCTACTTTTTATCCTCTAGGCCATTCTCCCTTAGGAAAATCTTGAAGCTACAATTTAGAACCTTAAACTTAAAATATCAATAACCGAGAGGATTAAAGTGTTGGTTCGTAAATTTGGTTACATAATAACTGAATCCAGTCCCTGGGCTCTGTAGTATGGATATATTCAGACTCCACGGAAACAATAACTGAACGATTAACCAATACAAAATATTCCTAGACACGAATGAGAACACACTACTCCCAGAGATAAGTGTTGAAGGTTATGAGAACTGACAGATACCCGAAAAAAGGCTGGAAACGTTGTGATAGTAACAGCAAAATTAAGGACATTAGTCCGAACGTAATTAATTTAAATAATAACTTCTCAGTCGAGAAATTCAGACAGAAATCTAAATTCTGATTTTTGATCTGGAAAATTTTGTATGTTCGAGATTTTGTTTCAATCGTTTTTATTTCTTTGGTTTAAATATGATAAATCTTTTTTTAAATGAAAAGTGTTTTCTGTTTAAATTTATATTTATTTTTGCTAAAACTTATGTGCCAAACGAATAAAATATAGAAAATTTTATTGTGTAGTTAATACATTTATACCCACCGTTTTATTTTAGGGATAGTAGACGTTAATCGACTATAGGTAGAATCCTATAGTTAATAGCGTGTTTTCTTAAACCTATAATATCGAAATGTTAATTTTTTTTATTATTAATACCCGACTTTTTATAAAGATTTAATACCGGATTTTTCTTATAATTTACACTGGATTTTTATTTCAATTCTTATAATTTATGCCGGATTTTATTTTAATTCTTATAATTTATACCGGATTTTTATTTTGTTATAATTAATTACGATAAAAAGAGCTTTAACAACCGAAGCGTTCTTATTTCTTATACTCGCATCATTGTTTTTTTTCTTTCAGACAATTCGGCAGAAGTTTCCACACCTAACAACAAGAAGATTGGGAACCCGAGGACATTCCAAGTAAGAATGCTACATGATGATTTGCTGATTTTTTTTTTCATATTTCACAGATGATATATGGAAGCCAATAAATCCGAAGCCTAATGATAAAAAATATTATACTACAGATTCTTATTTTTTAAAAATTATCTTCTTTGTCAAGGCACTTAACACAATGTATTTCCATTAGTCACATAGACTGATTATTATACGATGAAGATTTTAGGTTGATATTCAGCTAATAATACCTATATAAGTTGGATTCAAGTAACAATGAAGAATATGACTGTAGATAACTAGCTTTGAACAAAACAACTTTTTACTGATTTGTAAATATAGATTCTTGACTCCAGATATCTGAGGTCAACTGATAGCAATGAAACACTTATCAACTCGAACCTGTACATTATTTCGGAGGCTGTTTCTGGAACAACTTTTGTTGTACGGTCAGTTAAATGAATCCACTCGGTAGGTCAACAACAGGTTTAGAAAAGGACACAGACGATTTAAAACATCGGCAAAAAGAAAAAGAAGTAAAGGAGTAAAATACATCTGGCGCATCATATCACTGTGAAACTTGGAATATATGAAAATATCGGCTTAGACAGTGAGCATTGCATGCTATCGTCTATATATATATTTTGTGAGTCCTTGACGCTCCCAACCCCACAGGTTCCTGAAAGGATAAGCTGTGAAATATATAATGAAAAAATATAGTTTTAAGGTATGCTATATTTATTGGTATCGTGTTCAATATCAGAGATAGAGCGCATGGTATATGAAGAAAACACTAAGGTCAACACCGAGTAGCAACAGTCTGTTACCTGATTGAAAGCAATTTTCAGGCCATGGCCTTAAAATTGCGTTCAAGGAGGAAGCACTGTCATCACTCGTTGTTGACCTCAGTGTCCGCTATGATTACTTCAAACGTTATTTTTACTGGATACCCGTATTTGAGTAGTGTTCCATTTTAAACCGTGTTTATTTCTATCGATTGTTCAGGCCGATAGACGAAAATAAACACTGTTTAAAAAAAAAAAGAAGGTTCTACTGAAATACGGGTATCCACTAAAAATGCTTGAAGCAATAAAAATATGCCAGATTAAAAATAAAAAGCCATTACCTATCTATCTGAAATCTTTCATTGTCATTTCTATCTGTGATCTTTCATTGTTATTTCTATGAAATAACGATATATATATTTTTTATATATCAAGAACGGTATTGGGGAAATTGTAATATTTTCCATTTTGTCTTACTCTCTCCTCTGTACACACACACACACACACATATATATATATATATATATATATATATATATATATATATATATATATATCGCAAAATAGTTATTCAAAGAATAAATCAATAACGTTAATATAATTAATGGCGAATTCACTTCGCTAACAGATTAAGAAGGCATTAACTTACTGGCCACTCACTGAACGACATGATCATTGTTTTTATTAATTGTACAATGGATTAGATGTCCGATCCATATTATTTGTAAATACTTTCGGTGAAAACATTCAACATCTTCAGGCATAGATGTTATTTTTTTTACTCAATTTCGGATAATTTCAGGTAAAAATTCCAAGACGAAAATGAATCTAGCGTTGCATTTCTGCACGTTCAAAAATATTCTTAACTGTTAATAACACCACACTTTTTTAATAAAACATCTTTCGACAATTATCCACATTCATAATATATACGACTCGCATATGATGCGCAAATTTCACAAACAGTTGGATAGTATATCGTCGATTGTTCTATCCTCTAATTTTTTTTTATTCTTTATTCCAGGTATCATTATTATGGCATTGGAATCCGTGAAACTAGTCAGTATTATCATTCTGTTTATTCGGGCAAAGGTTTGACGAGGTAAGTTCGCTTATGGAAGATTTCTATAATTTAGAATTAACACTTAACATTTTCTGCCAATTTAGGATAATTTAAATATATATATATATATATATATATATATATATATATATATATATATATATATATATATATATATATATATATATATATATATATATATATATATATGAAAAGTGTATATAAATATAAATAAATATATATATGTATAATTATTTATCATTATATACATGACTTATTAGAAAGCGCTCAATATCAGAGATAGAATAACATATTTGGTTGGATAGATGTGAGTTTGTGACCCTGGGTTTCACGCTTTAGCGATCGTCAGGAAACCCAGGGTCACAAACTCACATCTATCCGACAAATATATATATATATATATATATATATATATATATATATATATATATATATATATACTTTTATTTTATTTTTCTCTGATGATTCCCTGTCAGTTCTTAATTTAGTGGTTTATTTTAAAAATTTCACACAAATTATATTTTTGTCCTCAATTGACCTCGAAGAGAGAGGATCGAAAATCAGTTCGCCATTTTTTGTTATTTTCTTTTTTCTTGTTATTACTGTTTCGATTTACCTCATTACGCTGATTTCTTTCATTATCCTTGCTCACCTTTCCCCTGTTTGTTGTTTTTATATGCAATTTGAATACGTCGGTTTTTATAGCATTAATAAAGTTCTGTATCCCCATAAAATGTAATAAATAAATAAATATAAACTTGATAAAGAATGCATTCAATACTTTTATATTATTTCCTTAATTTAAAAGTAGCCAACATTGAAAAATATACATAAAATATTGTATTTTTTGTAATGTCCCTCTATATATGAGCAGATTTAGCAATAACGAAAATAAAATAACAGATCAGTATAAAATTAATTTGCGACTTACGTTAAAAAATAAAAATCAAGCAAATAAATAATTAAATAAATATAAAATACAATGATTAAATTAAAATAAAAATAGTAAATGTCATATATTAAATGAAAGTCTTAATTTTATAGTATTTTTTTATTTTACGATTCTAAATAGTTTTTTGTAACTGGGTGTCCTGTTTAACCAAAAATATTTGATTTAATTCTCCGATGAGTTGTCATTATATCTAATATAGATTTAAGCGCTACAAAAAAGAATGTCTCGAAATTTCATAAAATTAAATAAGTGGAGTGCAAAAGATGTAAAAATATATTTTTGCTAAGATTTTCTAAGAAAGAAACATTTCAAAAATGATCTAATTCCTTTGTAAATAAATTCTGAAAGTTTCATTAAAATCAAACCATTATCTGATTTTTGTCAGAATTTCAAAATCAATGTATTTCTCTTCGCAAATGAACGCTCAAATCTCCCGTACAAATTGATGGAGCCAGGTTGAGACTAGAAAAATAAGGTTTTTAACCAAAATTTCAAGTTATAACTTGAAATTTTGATTAAAAATCTTATTATGTATTTGGTTAAAAACCTTATTTAAAAGGATTTTAAAAATTGTTTGTACATAAAGAATACTTTGATCTTTTCTCTTAATAATAAAGGTTTTGACGATAAAATTTGTTTTTATTAAGTTTTGTGCGTTTTTCAACATGTATGCTAATTTTTTTCGTGAATCTTTGGAAACACCTCTCTCTCTCTCTCTCTATATATATATATATATATATATATATATATATATATATATATATATATATATATATATATATATATACACATTTCATTGAATACGACAGACAAGGTGCTTTGATTTAGTTTTTTATAAAATTTCTCATATGATCTAATATTTTTTTCTTTTCAGATGATAAATTATATAAAAACTGTCCGAATGTTCTTTTAATCCGAGAATGATGATGCTTTTTTTCTACATGGAGATGATCATAGCTAAGTTATATATTATTTAAATATTCATGGAGACCTACCGGACATTATTCGTAACATACTTGTTGACAGCACAAATATAATAGCATCATCTACATGCAAAAAAAGGTTAAAAATAATGGAAGCCTTATTAATAAAAGCAAAAAAAAACAACACTTAATAATATCAACTATGAACATGGACACAATATCTTGACCGTATTTTGAAAAATGAAAACATTATATAAATACATACATACATGCAACAAACTATTTCTTATTTAACAGTTAAAATATTTCATCCTTGAAAATGGCTAAATGTATAGCCGAACGTTCTCAGATTAAAAGAACATTCGGACAGTTTTTATGTAATTTATCATCTGAAAAGAAAAAATTATTAGATCGCATGAGAAATTGTATAAAAAAATAAATCAAAGCAGCTTGTCTGTCGTATTCAATGAAATGTGCATGAAAGAAGGATTGCTGCCTAAATACACTATGCATGTAAAACAATCATGAGGATGATATAGTCGATTTATTTTATATTTTAAGATTTTAATTAATTTTTAAACTTCAGCTCTTACTCTTATTATTTGTGTGAACTAACCATTCTCCCGATTTAAAAAAAAAAGTTTCCCTACTCTTCAAATATCTTACAACTGTTGGAAGATCAGAGACAAGCTTTTTAGACAATTCCAAAGTTGACTGAATGCTTGCAAGTTATTACTTCTTATGGATTACGGTTAGGTGGCTTGTCCTCCAAATCAAATTCACCTATCTTGGACATTATGACATGTATTGCTTCCAACCGAATCATCTCCGAGGCTTTCATCTGCCATCATCTTCGCTTCTGCTGCTGTCTTGACCAGCTTGAATACAGAACACTGAAAGCCAGTCTTCAGGTTTCTGTCAAAAGAAATAGCGCTGGGAACTTTTCCATACACTTAATAATTATATTTATTATATTTACAAAACCTAGATTTGCATGACACAAGCCCAAATCAGAAAAATATGAAAGTGGAAGATTCTGTTGCGCCAATTATTCAACTAATGAGTTCACTTGACTACTTCGAAAACCAGTTTACTTATTACAATAAAAGAAATAACGCAATAATCAACACATACAAGATATCTCCTATCAGCAAAAAATAATGAACACCTGTAGATGTTCCAAGAGTAGTTGACTGAAACGTTGTGTCTATAATCTATATTATAAAAGAGCTGATTCTTTGTCCATCACAATGTCATATTCCTCTCTCAATGAGTCTGGACATCTCCTACCCGGCGCTCAACAACAAAATGATAAGGTGAGGAAAAAAAGCACTTAATAAGTTTTGATTGAACTTTTCGGAAATTATTCGGTAATAAATAGAATTTTTTTAATTTTTAAGAAATATTTGTTTAGATCCGTCATTGAATTAAAAGGTACATGCACACGCAAAAGTACACACACAATTAGAATGATATTAAAATGGACATCTGGGTTAATTCCCTTTTCTGTCTGGCAATAACCCCTGCGTAACGGGAAAAGAACATAAGCCGAAATATGCGGTCATTTCAAGTCGTTTTTATAACTCCTTCTATATTTAAACTGGATATATTTTCTAATAAACGTAATATTTTAAAAGGACAATTTAAAATTGAAGTTTGATCAGCTTGCTGTCAACGAAGTGACTTGTACCGAACTAGTAACACATAATAAACAATGAGAACAATAGTTTTAATGAATCGAAGCGATCAAAGTATATTCAAAGTAGAAAAAAACAGCAATTTTCTCCATGGTAACGAACTGATGACTGTCAGTAACAGACACTCAAAGGCGAGGAAAACTTATTTCGACACCGAAGAAAAAAAATCTTTCCCAAAAGTGATCAAGCGAGCTTTTGTGACATAAGCGAAGAGAAAATCAAATGTTCAATATGGTGTATTTTGCAGAGGTCAATATGGTGACGTTAAAAATAATGTCAATAAAAGTAACAGCAGTGGTGGATTAATTGAAATACCTCCCAGCATGCACCGGATGTAAGTTTGGACAAGACTAGGTGTTATTCACACGATGCAAGGGAATGGAATTGTGGATGGTAGGAGCGTGAGTTTTTTCTTGTTTTCCTTGTCACATTTGTCATCTTGTGTATACAATAAATAAAACGCGTTTGTAAATCGCTTTCACACAAGTTTTGTCACTACCTCTTCCTTTCCCTCTATCACGCGCGCATGCGCAGATAAGTGCGTACGCATACGCGCCTAAAAACCTGGCATATACACACCCCTAGTTAAATGTGAAAGTATGTACTGTTAATAAATTTTCTTTCTCTTTCTTATTTTTCTCCCTCTTTCCCTCGCTATCTCTCTTTAACCTCCCTCTAATATTTCTGTTCTTTGTCTTTTTTCTCTTTTCTCTCTCCTGCCCCCCTCTCTCTCTCTCTCTCTCTCTCTCTCTGATAGATAGGTGAGTGCATACACGCACCCAAAACCAGATAGATACAGAAAACTACTTGAATGCAATTAGAGGATTAACTATTTTCATTATATTTCGCTTTCACTTTTCTCTCTATATATCTATCTATGTCTCTGTTGTAACCTAGGGAAGGTTACTGAATAGAATAATCACACAAAGGTTGGTGATGAACGATAATACTTAGGACAAGAACAACACATATAAGATTCGCTAGAAGCGCGTAAAAGTAATCAACTGCTAGAAGTGAGTCAAGTGAATTCCACAATGAATCTCCAACTGCAGGATATACACCAACCGTCCCACGCGGTCAGATGTGGTACAAGGCCGAATTTAATGTGAAGTATCCGAGCCCATAGGCTCGGCCAAAAATTCTTCGTATACCGGGGTCGGGTATCTGTTTCCCGAAACGAGACTGTGCCCTTCAATATAGCCTCGTCTGGGGATCCTCTCCGCCCGGAGGCAGAGAGTCTGACCAGCACAGCTGGAGACAAATCTCAGTCTAACATATAGTATTTACTACTGTATTTATATGAATGGGGACATACCCATTATCCTCCGTAGGTATGCTACAATATTCTACCTCTCTAATATAAGGGTGATATCTATCTATCTATCTATCTATCTATCTATCTATCTATCTATCTATCTATAACTGCTTTCTCAGTGTCTTTATATCTATATCTATCTACCTATCTAGCTAGCTAGCCATGCTCTCTTCATCATTATGTTTGAGAAATCTTATTATAGAAAAAATAGCGTCTACTCAAATACAAGTATCCACTAAAAATAACGTTTAAATAATAAAATCTGTCGGATTAATATATATATAAATCCATCCTTTTCTCTCTCTCTCTCTCTCTCTCTCTCTCTCTATATATATATATATATATATATATATATATATATATATATATATATGAACATAATAAAATAGGCAGCATATATTTTATATTACAAAGAGTTAATCATACCTTGAATCAATCAATTGATTCACTCTTAAATGATTAACTCTTTTGTAATATATATATATATATATATATATATATATATATATATATATATATTTTTCCCTCTTGTATAATTTGAAAATGAAATAGATTCCCCAATCGTCCCGTCAAGACACTCTAAAAATCCTCACATATATATAAAGATGTAGATTTTTAACTGAAATACTTTGCTTAAAATATCCTCTTGTCTCTACTTTCATATATTAAACAAATTTTTTTTTTTTCAGATTTTCCGGCTGTAAACTCAAGAGTGAGGTAAGTAAGCTTTTTTGAAAAATTAAACTTGTTAAGTAAAAAGTGGAGAAGCCTATGGGAGTAATGGTTCAAATTCTGTCTGAGAAAGTAATGCTCACTAGAAAAACAGAAAATCCCTACCTTCAGCAATGGGTTAAAATGAAAGACAGATAAGGGCAAAAGCTTTACGGCAAAGGGCTTTTTTTTTCAAAATGTTTATATTTCAATGATAATTTCCAAAATTATAAAATACTCCTTGAATTTAAATTATTTTGAATTAGTATATTTTTTCTTGATTATAACCACATATACTCGGTGTCATCTTATTATTATTTTTATTCTTCTGTTATTATTATTTGTGCATGTTATGTTTCTTGCTTTGTATCCTGTAGATCTGCGTCCAAGCTATGGTCCTTAAGCCCTATAGGAAAATCGTTATTTAATTGATAGCACTTTTCTTAGTATATGGGATGTTCTTAGTAGGGTGATCTTCTAGGCAACATGTATGTTACCTGGGACACTGTTAGTAAAATTGTCCATTCCTTTTCTCACGAGGCCTAGAGCTCCGATTACTATTGGTACGGTCTCAGTCTTCATTCCTCACATCCTGTTAATCTCGATCTCCAGGTCCTTTTCTCGATAATTTTCATGGAGGTGTTTCTCTCAGATGATACTGCTATGTCACTAAGCATAAACTGCCTGAATTTCTTGTCTTTTATGATAATATCAGGTCTGTTAGCTTTTATTCCCCTTTTATTATTATTATTATTATTATTATTATTATTATTATTATTAGATCATTACAAACGTTTGTGCCCGATAGAAAATTAAAAACAATACAATCCAGGAACGAACTTTTGCAATGATCTAATATAATTTAATGGTCAGGACGTCCATTGGTGGTTAGGCTGCGAGTTAAATTACCAAGTTTTATTTATTTTACCTGTTCGCGAACCAACTGTATCTCTTGCAGAAGGATATAATTCTACACACCTAAAGGGGCCACTAGCCGAGTAGATGCTTGTAGACTACAGTATAAACTTGAATAGTGTCTACATTTTTTCCCGATGGCTACTTATCTATTATTAATTATTTTTAATCTTTGTCTAATAAAAATTATATTCGACATTAAATAACTCAGCAAGGTTTCATATGTCGTTAACTTAACCAGCCTTGTCTAACCTAACAATTTTCATTTGTGTAATGACTTGTGTTCAGGAAACGTAACGTATATCGGCGCGTAAAGCAGAATCGGCGAGCCGAATTCAGCTTCTTCCGTCATCTTCGGATGGCTGCTGTATTCTGTAACCTTCTCAGAAAGGGTTTGACCCAACATTCCGTGAGGATTACCGAGAACGATGGATACTTGAAGAAGGCCAGAGAGTACAAAACCCGAATGCTCTGTGCATAACAAACAATATAAGACGTTGGCCTGAATAGAAAGGCGTATAAAAATAAATTATATACATTTGTTAAAATGTTATCCACGCTGTTGGTTAATCAGTTCTATCATATCGGATCTCCGTGTTCTTTACGGTATGGTTAGAGCCAGGTGAGATATTTGACAGCTCCAATTTCCTTCAAAACAACATGGTTTATGCTATACTATTTACAGGGATAAGTACCTAACGCTCATCTATATCCAGAGAACAAATTCCAATCAAGTCTGTTGAGTTCACTTTCTTTCAAATACCTTTGGGTAAGGTATGAATCCATTGCTCCTCCTAGCTATAGATAAATTAGCTGAGTAGACTAAGTTCTGTAGCCTTGGAGATAGCCAGTCTTGGAGAAAGACAACTCTGTATTCAAAATCGTAAAGAAATCAATTGGAAGTCACTTCACTATCTTTACAAAAACGTTATAAGAATTCACAGATAATAAATAAAAGGAATCCCTATGAAACTCATGGTCGCTTACGTCCTGAAGGGATATAGTATTTAAAACATGAGTTAGTGTTCCAATATTAGTCTCATGTGCGAAACTAAACTACGGCTGATAAATAAATTAATTTCGGTTAGCAACATCGTCTCACAGACCATTACTATTGCAGCGGGTTTGATTTTCATTGGGAACCCCACACTTAACGTAAGAAACTTGTCTCAGAGACAGGGGATCTTTACTACTGGATTCTCAACAAGTGCTCTACAATTGTGGCCTTGTGTCAGGCTATACTAAGTTGTATACGATTGGAAAACATATTGAAATATAAATATTTTGAAGCTGATGCATAAACGTAGAGTAATGATTAATATCTGTATATCATTACTACTGTAGTGAGGTAGATCCTCATTGGGTGACTTTCTCTTATTGTTTTGCGACAAACTAACTTAATTTTAGTAAATACTTATATGACTTTACGGTCCGCAGGTTTTGTTTATATGTTATATCTAGTTATATATAAAATGTTCATTTTCCTTCTTATCATCTGTTTCCCTTTCCTACCCTTTTAAATGGTTTGCTACATACGTGCAAATACTCTTGGGAAAGACATCAATCCATCTCCTCCTCCACCCCCCAGTTATTTATCTGGAAAAATCATTATTATGTACCAAAAAATTGTTTATTCAATATTCCCTCGCCAAAAAATAAAGAATCATTATTACAGTCCAAGATATGTTTCAGCTTTAAAAGGGTTGATAAGACATAAAAAAACAAATCAATCAATACTTTTTAAGTTCTCTTGAAACTCTGCTCTCCTCCAAATTTTTTTTATTTCCGTTTTCAATATTTTCGTCGTCATTAAAATTTTCTTCGTCTTCCTCTTTTTCTCAGTTATTTACTCTTATTTTTTCTTCTTTTTAAGCAACTCTTTCCATTTTTTTAAAATATTCCTCTAGTTTAAACATCTGTGTAGAAATTAATATCCAACGTTTACAAATCGTTCCGATACAAAGGAATAAAAGCAATAAATTCTTTTTTTCTTTCTATTTAATAAAATTCAAATTTCTACCCTGACACACACAAAACCTGCCATATTGAAAAAGACAATGAATGTCCAATAAACACACGATAACGGAGAAATAGTTATAAAAGAGATTATCATATTATCATGAATATTATGTCTGCAATGCGATAAAAAAAATTCGCTTAAAAACAGATAACGACGGAAGAGAGATTTAAACTGATATAATTGATAAAGATTATAAGCCCTTTTCTCACACATCTATTTCTCTATCCCCCTTCTTTATTTTTTTTTTCACGATTCGTACTGACTCATCCCTTTTTCCCTTCAGTTTCCTTGTAGACCTTTTTCTCTTAGGAGTTAAAAAGTTCTCGGCCCAACCGACTTCTCAAAATCTGACCAAACATTTTTATTTATTTATCGTGAAAGATTCCTTGATCAGGTTGAGTATCTTTTCAGTACCTCCGTATAGTTTATGTTTTCTCTTCTGTATCTGTATATCTATTTATCAATTAATCCTTTGTCTTGATATCTGTTACGCCTTTATTCATATCTGTTAATCCATAATCTGGATGTGCGAGTGCTGTAATATGTGTGTGTGTGTGTGTGTGTGTGCGCGAAACTGAGACATAAATAAATATAGGTGAAAAAAACATTCTAAATCGAAATGACAATATAGGAAAACTCATTTTTGCAACGCAAGGCAAAATTCAGACATTCAATAAGAAAATTCATTTTTTTCTCCAAAAATCTTTTCGTTTGCATTTTATGAATTGCCTGAAAGCACAATGCTTGTTGCAAAAATGTATTTTCATATTTTTATTTCAATTATATAAGAAATCAATGAATTTTCATTCGACATTATTTCCTTCTACTCCAGGCGTTATGTTGTAGATACCCATGTTTGAATAGACATCTTGTTTTCTTCTCTCTTTTTTTTAAAGAACAATGGGAATTGCGTCTACCCGTATGCGCATTCGTGATGTAATAAAGAAAATGTGCTCTCAGGTAGGGTCCGAACCTGCGTACCCCTTTGTTAGAGAAACCAACGTCTGACTCAGAATAATTTAGTCCTCTCGGCCACAGAGATGTTCTATTGCTCATTTAAAGAATACATATCCGAGAACATATTTTCTTTACTAAGTCTCTCGAATACGTAAGCCGATAGAAGTAATTCACATTATTATAAAACAGGACATCTAGTGTGTGTGTGTGTGTGTGTGTGTGTGTGTGTGTGTGTGTGTGTGTGTGTGTGTGTGTGTGTGTGTGTGTGTGTGTGTGTGTGTGTGTGAGAATCTCTTTCAGAGTTTAAATAAATGGTGACTCAGTAATTACGTACAAAAAAGTAATTTTGTCTGTTCATTCTGTCCAAAATAAACGTCTTTGTTAGTTGTTACACATATACTTTATCTGTTTTTTAAATGACTTGGCATAGCTCAACGGATGTCCCGATTAACCGATAGCTTAAATTAAATGGTATTTATTGGAATACTTCCAGGTTCTAACTTCAAATACTCTGGTAAATGAGCCTGTACTTGACAGTTATTCGCATTCTATAAATTAGATGCAGAAAGTAGTTAATAAGAGTCTTGCATAAACGCGAAACCCCGTCAGTAGGATTCATAAAATCGTATATATCATTACCTCCAGAAATATTTCCTGATTATAACAGAATAAAAAGATTCCTTACATTGTCCAGAGAGTCTAGATTATTTTCTCAATAATTAGAAAAAATATTCTGGCTTTGAACTTGATAAAGAACCTGTTTTGTGGATGAGGTAGTTGTGTCTTTTCCGCCGGTACTGGTGAACAGTATCTGAAACCAACTTAAAACCAGGTTTGCAAATACAGATTTTCACTTTCAATATTAAATCAATACAAATATCCTACACTATATTTTTATGATTCTTGATCCTCATTTCTTTTGCACAAACGTGTCAAGTAGGTTAGTCGCTGTTTTACTCTGTTCCTCTTGTTTGCGATTTGGCCTGAGAATGTTATATTTTCCAAGTCTTCTTTCTTTATTATCTGTCTTAATGTTAGCTGTCTCTTTCTGATTGTTCACTACAGTTTCTTTCTCGTTTATTGTAAGCTCTGTCCATTCTCAAAATTTATCGATCGAACCACATCTTAGTTGCCTCTTGTATTTTTTAATTTATGTTAAAATTCTTTAAATTTCATTGCCGTATAGACGCATAGACATTACATAACAATCCAGCACTCTTTCCTGATTTTTAATAATGTTATTTTTCAGACCCTTGGTAATTTACTCAGTCTCTACAAATATCTTTATTTTTATGTCTTACTTTGTATAATCTGTTATTATAATACCTGGTTAGCTGAATTTTAAAATTTGTTTAATCTTGACGCCGTCAATGTGTAACACGGTTTGAGCTGACCCTTTTACCCAACACCATGCATTGCTTCTTCTTATAAATAATGGATGTTCTTTCTTCTCACTTTCCTCGTTCATTACTTTTTCTAAGTTCTTTCAATTGTCCTTCTTAATCGGCCATTCACATATACTACATGATAAGTTTTCTAATTCATGACAATTCACATCTCAAAAATAGATCTATGACAACTACAAAAATTGTTATTGCCTCTATTTAAAAATGTATTCAAGTTCAATGCCTTGTGGTAATAGCTTCTTAATCATTACTTTAATGTGAGTACCTGGCTAATGTGTAAAATTATGATTTTTAGTGCTAAATCTCACCATATTCGAAAGCCACTAAAGTTAGAGTGTTGCTGTTAAAATGGTAATATGAAGTGCGTGATATGAATGAAAGAAGGGATGGTAGGAATGGAAGATTTTGAAGATAAGGAGGATAGATAATACTTGACTCTGGACTTTTTAGTGTTAAATTCTACATTCCTTATTCTTCACTGTGTATTCCGAAAGTTTCATGTTTCTTTCTGATTGTTATTAGCAGGTTCTTTGCAATTTCTATTTCTTAGAACTTCATTGTTTCTCACAAACTCTGTTGCTGGTATTCTTGACGTTCGTCAATAAAATCACATCTCTTTTGCTTCTAGTCTTTTTTTCACTTGTGATAATATTGTCCCGCTTTCACTGCCATATCAGAGGTTCGACATCACATAGCAGTCTAGCATGCTATTGTTTTGTTTAATGTTATTTTTCAATCACTTAATGCATAAATATTTCGTCTATTCTTATCATGCGCCTTCATTTTTTTCTCTTGTACTTACCGATTGTCTTTTACTGTATAGTCCAGAGAGTTGAACATGTTTAATTTTGAAATCCCTAATGTGTAACTTACATTTTGAGTTGACTCTTTTGCTCACAGTTGTTTCTTATAATTAATAGTCAGTTCTTCCTTGTCGCTTACCTCACTGACTACTTTGCCTAATATTCATTTCAGTTTTCCTTATGAATCTACCATCAGCAGAGTTCCATCTGTGTAGCATATGTTTTAAGGTTACGTCTGCCGATAATAAATCTCAGGAAAGAATCGAGACTGGCCGACGGAGTGAAAGTCTAATGAAAAAGAGTAAACATGCATATCGGGTTGAAGCAAAGCTGGGTTGGATTAGATAACAAGATGTACGTATGAAAGAAGACATTTTCTAATTAAAGAAATATTTGGCGACCTTAAAGGCCTGTCTCCTGCCTTAGTAAGATTTATCGGTGTCAGATATCGGTGTTCAATCCCAGAGAAATTCCAGGATTTCAAATGCTGATTTTCACGACATGCAAGCACCTCCCACACGGAATATTGCTGCAATAAATATTTCTAAACCATACCTTTCCATTCCATCCCATTTCCTCCTATCATCATCATCATCATCATCATCATCATCATCATCACTATGAGCTTTGGTTTAGTCTTGGCTTTGTAAATATCAAGAAATAAGTTTGTGTATGGGCATGAGGTGTGAGTAGCGTAACAGTTATCGGCACGGAAGGAAATCTAGCTTGTGTTCACTTATACACTCGTATTCTTAGAAAAGGCATAAAGCTATCTCCTCTCTTCCCCCAAATATGTGTTAGATAGTGGGAAAGAATGCTTTCTCTAACCTTAGATGGTAGGTATTCTAAAAGAAATAAAATTCTGAATTCAAAATATGTGGTGAATGCCACTGAAAACCACTCCATTATCTCTTACAAAAATCACTGGCAATTTACAAGAAAGAAAAGGAATCTTAAGGAGCATGATATTTTTCTTTGAAAAAAAAAATGTGTATGAATGATTGATTGCGGTTGATCAAGATAAGATGATAATGATGATAGATAGATAGATTTTTGTTCGTAGGCGGATAATTGACAGAAACGACGCAAAAGTGGATATTTTTCAGAGCAAATCATCCTGTTTATACCCATCTCATGTTTTCGGTACAACCAGACATGTATCTTGAAATATTGAAGCAATATCATGTTGTTTTTTTTGTTTTGTTTTTTTATCTCGGTTTGTCTTATATTTGGTTTTGTACTGTACCAAGGTAATACATCGTTATATAATATCAAGATAAAGTGACAACCTTAGAAATAAAAGAAATGGAAGACTGATAAAGAAAAATAAGATGTCAATAAAAACAAAAAAGATGGAAAAATTCAAAAAAGAGTGAGAATAAATGAAAGAAAAGATGATTGTACAAAAGAAAGAATAGAAGGAACCAATGTAATAATCAAAAAGGAAAGCACAGATAAAAAGAAAACAATGTCACAATATAAAGAAAAGGAGATGAAAGGAATTTTCATAGCTGGTAGGATATCGACAGACACGAAAGATGGCGGACTTAAAAGAGAAGAAATGTGTTTTGATGATTATGACAATGACAGAAGGTTATAAAAAGAACCTAACAGAAAACCAAACCCAACCACTACCACTGCTACCACCACGGCAAGCAAGAACCCCCTCCCTACTATCCGGTCTACATTTTCTCAGCCACGGTCACCTCTCAAGATCTGTCGGACGAGGCGCTGTCCCACTAAATCGCTACATCCCTCGTTGATTGACGTGTGTACGCTCGCTTATGAGGCTGGTTCGCGATTCAAACTTTGCACAAACAAAATAACCCATTTCCATTGATTTGCAGAAAATTTATTTCGTGCTTGCTTCGTGTTTGCCCAGTCGTTCCAACCCTTTCTTTTTCCTTCCAACTTTTTACCGCTACAACGCTGACGAGACGGCCGCCATCTTCTTCCCAGCAACTTCTTTCTCGCCACTTCCTCCATCTTTAATTTGTACTCATTCAGTTCTCTTTTCTTTAAATAATCACCTCGCTAAACTCTCTTCGCGAACGCCCATGTCTCTCTCTTTCTCTCTATTTAATGACTCCAATCTTTTTCTTCTTTTTTGTTGTTGTTTGCACACTTTCTTTGCCTTTGTTCCATACGCAGCCTTTCCTTCCGTTCGATCGCTCGAATTCTCTTCTGTCTTTTCCATATTAGTACACAGTCAACAAAAAATGCCGCCATGATAATAAATCTGATACAAACAGCCATTCACAGATGACCTTATCTTTTTCTTTCTTCCACTCTTTCTCTCTCTCCCCTCTTTCTCTCTCTCTCTCTCTCTCTCGCTCTCTCTTGCTCGCTCTTCACTCCCTTTTAAATAGTGTTTGACTTTTCCCCCCATGCGACACTCTTTCATACACACGCACTGTCACCCTCTCCCCTTCCCCCTCTCCCATTCCCTATCTCTAACACAGCTTCTCTCTTTTCCTGTTTTTAGCCCACGAGTCTGTCTTTCATTTAGGACCAGTTAACCACATTATAATCAATAATGTTGGTCGTTCCAATAAGTTCTTTTCTCCATTCAGATATTTTTTCTTTAATGGTCAAGCTGAAAACTTTTCAGCACTCCTCACGAAATGGATCATAAGAAGCTTGTGAATCACAGGAAGTGGGTTATTAAATAGAATTGAACCGATGTCAATTAATAAATTCTAATTAAACACGAATTGTTTTAATATTTTTCTGACCCTAAATCCTGATATTACAGATCTGATGGAATATCCTCACACACACACACACACACACACACACACACACACACACACACACACACACACACACACACACACACACACACACACACACACACGTGGAGAATCAGAGCGGTAACAATTTTATCCAAGTTCAGATCTTCAGGCTTTTCAAATGCGATCTTTGCTGTAGGGGGTAGTGCTTTTGTATCTGTGGCTTTATATTCTTGCAAAATATCATATGCTCTGTCTTTGATATTGATTTTCTACCATGAATTTATCATACATTAAATACTATATTTTATAATATTTAGAGAGATAGTGAGACAGATAGAGAAGTGTGTGTGTATTGTTAAAAAATTGCTATATATTTTGGAGAGGTGTGGTCATTATCGGAGATAGAGCGTCTATACTTATTGATAGTGCGAACATATGAATCAACACTGTATGCGGTCGTCGGATTAAGGAAATTATTAGTGTGAAGATCGCATTGAAGCTACAACATATAGTATTGATTACTATGTCCACACTATCTATCTCTCCCTCTCTCTCTCCTCTCTCTCTCCCTCTCTCTCTCTCTCTCTCTCTCTATATATATATATATATATATATATATATAATATATATAAAATGAATGTGATTTACTTTTTGAAAACAAAATGGTATTTTTTAAATACAATACTGTTATCAAAGGTAAATCATTTTTATCAAAAGTTACCCAACATCGCTTGATAATAGGGCAGATTTAAGTTCCGAGACAGAAATGTCCGTGGTGCGATGTAAAATATTTTTTAAATTAAAATATTATAACATTATGCTCTACATTGTATCGATCACTTTAAAAAAATAAATGCGACAGAACTGTAGATTTTAAACCTGATAATTAATTTGAATATATATATATATATATATATATATATATATATATATATATATATATATATATATATATATATATATATATATATATATATATATATATATATATATATATATATATATTCATATATATATATATATATATATATATATATATATATATATATATATATATATATATATATATATATATATATATATATATATATTCAGGCAGGAAATTCTCTTTTGGGCATATCTGAATGAATAAATTACAAACATTATATCTGCTTATTTTTAGCATAATCCTTTCATATTCACGAATATTTTTCCGTATATTACAATCAAATGAAGCAAAATTGAATATCATTTTTATTTCCCAAGTAGTTTACATCGCTTTCTGAGATCATCATCAATGATGCAAATGGCAAGTCAAAAACTACGTGTAACTATCCATTACTGATTTTTTCTTTTGTTTTAAATGCAACGGTTGACAGTTACGCTTTAGCGTTCATTAAGACGTGAAAAGTTATCCACTGTGGATTTTTTTCTTTTATGTTGGAATTTCATAGTCGAGTGCGCATTAAAGCGTGAAAACTATTCTCTTTATAAGCATTTTAGAACATTATTACAGTATTCGTAGCGGATTCTATTCAATGTAAGCTTCATTTTTTTTAATGTACATTGCCTCGAGAATCTGCAGTGTTATTTTCTTGGTGTAGTATAGCTGTGTTATCAATCAGTATTTTTCTATACTGTGAATGTGGACAGGAATGTTGGTGTAAATGTCTTGCAATGGACGAATGGACATATGTAGAGTAAGACATCTTGATAATGTAGTTGTAGTATGTCCAACATATATATTTGTTTTTCTGTCGGAGATACATTCTCACAAGGGACATTTGAATTGATATATAATGTTCGTTTTATGTAATACACCAGTTGGTAGAGAGGAGTTATTGCGAATAAGTAAATGGGTTTTTTGATAATGTATTTATCGTTGTTAAGTCCCAGTTAGAGAAACAACTGATATTATTATTAAAATATATATAACAATTCATCTCTCCCCCATTAAAAAGTTTTTGCCGGTTGTTTTTATAAAAAATGTTTATACTAAAAATGAAAATTTTTGTTATCTTTTAACTTCTATCAACAACTGATATTATTATTAAAATATATATAACACACACACAAAAATATATATATATATATATATATATATATATATATATATATATATATATATATATATATATATATAGGTTAGATGAGAATGAATAGAGTACAATTCCAACGTTCGTAACATAATTTAAAAGAGGGATCAATACAAAGTAGAGCAATATTATTTATTTTATCATATTTTAGGATATTGGCCTATACAAAGAATATATATAATGGTAAAATGGTAAAATTACTTCTTTATGATATAATATATATACTACACAATTTAATATATTTACGAAAATTAGTACATTCAGAATCTAAAAATTCTATGAAAAAAAACTACTAAAACATTTTACTCTATTAATTGGACTATACTTTAGTCTATGTCATCTTTAACTGAAAAACACATACAACAAAAATTCGTGAATTCATCACATTACTAAATTAAAACAAAATTCTCACTTGAATCATTTAACAAGAACTCTAGCGTTGCGGCATCGCACATTCCAAAATAATATAACTGTCAATAAATAGCAAATTTGAAAATACTCGGCTCAAGATCATTAATTTCATATGATAACAATTCAATGTAACAATCGTGTTATTCAAGGAGCAAAGTAATTTTGCTATTAAACATATTAACATTGCTAATTAATTCTTTGTGTAATTACTTCTTTATGATATCATATATATACTGCAAAACTCAATATATATACATACATATATATACATATACATACATATATATACATATATATATATATATATATATATATATATATATATATATATATATATATATATATATTTATATATACATATATATATATATGCATATATATATATATATATATATATGCATATATATATACATACACACACACACGCATATATATATATATATATATATATATATATATATATATATATATATATATAAAGAAATGAACGGATTTTTATTTATTAATCCGACAGATTTTAATATTTCGTATATGATTAGACGGTTCGTTTATCTTTAAACTATATATTTATTTTGTCTACCAGACTGATATATGCTTTCCTCTGGGGAAACTGTTCGTAGATTTACATATATATATATATATATATATATATATATATATATATATATATATTATATTTCAAGACCGGTAGGACGACTGCACAATGCAATCTCAGTGTACGATAGTATACATATATAGGTGTATGTGTGTGGGTTATTATATGTTTATGTATATGCTACTATATTTATGTATATGTTACTATGTGCGTATATATTACCACAGCCTGTTTTAAGTTGTTATGCAAATCAAATAAACCTCAATAACTCAAAAAGTTTTGAACCAATATTTGTCAAATTTAAACACGTCTATTTCCACCTTTAGCAAAATATTTAATTCAATTTCCCGCCATTTTTAATCATTAGTTTTTGAGATATATGGAATTAACAGAAATGAACTGGCTGAAGTTAGCATGCAGATTATACTAATATTAGCTTAAGACCTCTGAAATGTAATAAAAACTATTTTTTTGTTCACAATATATGTTGAAACATGGGTAAAGGGAAGGATCTAACAACTGCTGAAAAGCAGAAAATAACCAAATTATTGAGTGAAGGAATGTCCACATTGGAGATACCAAAGGAGTTTTGCAGAGATCACTGAACGATAAAGAAGGCCGTTAAGAACTCAAAGGAAAAGGCTTTAAGAACTTTCCTTGAGATGAACGTAAACTAAAGCGAGTTATAGTGAAACAACAACTTTTGAGCAGTGCTCAAAGCTTTGAAAAGGCTGGAATTGAGGGAGTGAAGAAGGACAAAAGTGCAGAATACTTTATGAGTCGGGATCTGTAAAACAATCTCTTAAGACACCTCTTCTCACTAAAGCAAATATTTTAAAACATTTTTAAAACACATGAAAATTGTCTTTTCTAAAGTAATTATCACGGAAGACATTTGATGGACCTGATGGATGGGCCAAAGAATGAATTTTATCTAATTCAGACGTGTCTGTGGCTAAAAGTAGGCAACAAGGAGGCGGTAATGTTATGTTATAGGCTGGAATTGTCGAACAAACCATTACTGGACCATTCAAAGTCGATGAAGCAGTTAAACTGAACAGTGCTAACTAATGCGATTTTATGAACAAGACTTTCTTTGCATGGTGCAAGTACAAGTCTTGCAGTTTCAAAGTGAAGTGTATCAATGCACGATAACGCTCCTTTTCATGTACCTAAGCTTACCTATGAATTCTTTGGGAATAAAATGTTTAAAGAGAAAAAATTACAAAATCATTGGGCAGTAGATTACTGGCTGTTATTGAGACGAATGGTCACTAAATTAAAATGTAAAAGATTCAAAAACTTACCATATGTGTTTATTATTTGTTCTATTATAGGTGTTGAGCAATTTTTGATGATTTTATTATGCTTTTATTGAAGTAAAATGTGATTAATTGGTTTTGCCTAATAACTTCAGACGGCCATTTTTAGAATACATCAAATAAATTCGTATCAATATGTTTATATTGATATGGTGTAAAATTTAACCCAGGCTTTGTTTTGATATCTAAATTAATTGTTTAAAATTTGACCATTTCGAACCAAATTTGAATTGTTGAAGTTTACATGATTTCCTTAATAACTTCAGACAGATTGTATATATGTATTTGTTAATATATAAATATGTATGTACATATTATGATGTATATGTGTTTATATGTTAATACATATGAATATGTTAATATATATGTATATGTTACTAT